ATTATGTTATTTGCTTTTCCTGTGAAATTCTATTATTAAAAGAGCAATTTGTTTATGAACAAAATTTGATAAACGCGTAGATATCGATATCGAATAGAAAATCGACACTCAGACACTTGTATTTCGCAGAGAAATAGACCAACGCGCAACGTAGCGGTCACTTACAAAAATATTTATTACATTATGATATCTTCTGCCTTTTGGGAACATATGAGGCGGCATGAATTACACATAAATATCCTTATACTTACACTCCCCTCTGTAATGTATCGCCACACTAAAAGCTTCAGGTAGGTAGGTATAGGTACATCCCTATCTTTAAGTTCCTGGCTATTAATTTACGGCCCTTTGTTCAGAAGGGCTTAGAAAAAGTTACTATGGTACGCAGTAGCATTTTATTTATTGTAGGTATCTATTGACTTAGTAATATTTATTATGTTGAATCTAAAAAGAGACGTGCTATACCTACTTAAACTGTCAAACACCGCGAGTACACCGGTGGCCGCAACCTATTGTTCTTTAATTGTGTCTATAATGACGGTACTCAAATGGTTAAGAAATATTTTTAAAATTTAAGTCTTAATCCTTTTCTGTACATTTTATGGCAATTTAAAAGCGCACTTATAATTACTAAAACAGAAATAAGTCTACTTAATCCGACTTCTTATTATTCAAACCTTTTCATTGCATATAAATTACACAGAGACGCGCAACCGTGGGGCTCTTGTTTACCGACATATGTTACTTGTGGTAAGCGGAACCCCAAAACGTGGTATAGTCGATTGTAACTGCGCCAAATGTGCCGTTAATCAAATTTAATATTTAGTCCTTCCCGCCATGTGATACGGATACCAGCTACGAAGACAGCAGGGTTGACTTGTATGATAAATAACATACATACATAACATCACGCCTTTTATCCCCGAAAGGATAGGCAGAGGTGCACATTACGGCATTTAATACCACTGTAATGTAACACCCACTTTTCACTATTTATGTTATGAGTCCCATGTAATAGGGGGTGAGCCTATTGCCATATACCGGGCACAGTTCCAGACTCCGTGCTACCACTGAGAAAAACCCAGTAATACTTTGCCCGACCCGGGAATCGAACCCGTGACCCCTTGCCCGGCAGTCGCACTTGCGACCACTCGGCCAATGAGGCAGTCAGTATGATAAATAATTATTTCATAATATGCTCAACAAGTCTGAATGTGCCACAGAAATGCGGGACGTTACCACTGCGTCTATTGATTTTCAAAATGAAAAGGCAGCTTCCCTTTCCGATCAAAACAGTATTTAAAACCTGACTAATGCCGGAATACTGAAACGTTACTCAATTTTAAGTTGTGCTTAAATATCGTGCCATCTCTGTCATTTTACATAGAGTTTGTAGAGACAGAACTATACTTAAGCGCGACGTAAAGTTGAGTAATGTTTCAGTATTCAGACATAAGAAACAGATAATAATTATAAAATTGAAAGTCCCACCACTGTCATGCTCGAGGTGACTCAAGTGACGTAGGTGGTAGTAATAAGAGACCTTAACAAACCCAAGAAAAATGCTTTGTAAGTATCTGTAATTCATTAGATTCTTATTTATTTGAAATAGAACGCAAGTGGGTAGTTTAGATACAATAAATTAGATCTAAGTTTCAATATTATTTTAAACTCTGCTCTCATAGCGCTTAGCTAAAGGAATATTGTTTTTAATTATACTGTCTCGGATCTAAAATAGAATTTTTGTTTCTATTTATTTCATAACGAATCGGAATAATTATGCAGGAGGTATTGTGATGGCGTAGTTTTATGGAGAATTATATATGTATGGAGTAATTTCATTCTTTCCTCAACAATATTTTACTGGCCAGAAGCGATTTTCTAAATACTTTTTGACTTGACTGCACGGTTGGCGCGGTGGCTGGGCAACTGGCTGCCGCGCAACGTGTCGCGGATTCGATTCCCGCATGGAACAACTCTTTGTGTGATCCACAGATTGTTGTTCCGGGTCTGGGTGTCATGTATATGTGATATTGGATGTTAGTAAACGCACCCGATACAAGAGAAAATCCTAGTGTGGGACAACGTTTATTTAAAAGAAAAACTTTCAATAATGACATATTGTGTAGTACACTATAACCAAAAAAATTGCAGTATCCTTCTGTCAAGTCTGCAAGAATTGAACAGGGAATGCAAAACTACAGGCTAGTAAACTTGAACATGAACTTTAATTAATTATTATGTTAGGCTCATTCCGCAACCTGCGACGCGGTTACTGTGGCGCTGCTACTGGCTGGCTACTCGATGCGCAAGCGCGCCCTCTGCCGTGATTATCGCGCTCGCGAGCATGCCTTGAAACTAGTCGAGTTCCTCGTCAAATAATGACGTGGGAAACCCGAAAAACATAATAATGAATTTAGTATGTCTTACGAAAGTTATAATATGAACCCAAATGTCACGAAATTTGATACATTATAAAAAGCTTTCAAATTCAGAAACAAAGTAACATAATATTGTAGCAAGGAATTACAGAATAACAATATATAAAAGTAGCTTTTAAAAATAAATTATGGCACGCTATTATCATAACAATAGCCGAAGCAATTGTCACATTGGTTTTGATAAGGAAAAATATAAAAATTCGACCGTATTTTAGGTATGACGTGCAAGTGACATTCCGTCTTGGGGTGGCAAACCAATTTAAAATGTTGATTTCCTGGTGTATAATGTAAACCAAACAAATACGATGAAAAATCTAATTACTTTCGAGGCAACAAAACCACGTCGGTACTCACAATAAATGGAAGAACATAGGTACTAATATTAATTAAAATGGAGCATAACATCAACAAGAGAACGAAATTGTAATTGTGTTTAGTTGAATGTTTAAATGAAAAATAATACAATAAAATGGAAGTTGCATTTCAGTACATTGTTAAAATAATTACATGTCTATAAAGCTTATGTTATGAAAACGCGTTGCTCTTTATTAAAGGTTAATTCCCTCATAAGTAATAGGTAACTGGATTCAATTAGATTCGATAGTCTGTATGTGCAGTGCCAGCTCGGGACCACATAGTAAAGAAACACGACGTTCTTTGTTAACTGCCTCGTCGTACCATAGATCTTGCCTTTGATCCTAAGATTCAGCCGTTTCTTTTTCTCGTCTTCTTTACGTTAGAGTTATCCAAAACACCAGATTCGGTATCAAATATTGGACTAGACTTTTGTAATTATCATTTTTTAAAATACACAATAGGATTTTCTCCTGTGTCATGGGTGCGTTTACAAACATACAATATCACATATACATGACACCCAGACCCGGTACAACAATCTGTGGATCACACAAAGAGTTGTTGAATCGAACCCGCGACACGTTGCGCGGCAGCCAGTTGCCCAGCCACCGCGCCAACCGTGCAGTCGATCAGTACACATAATAGTACACATAACAGACAGTAATCATAATGGAATGCTAGAAACACGCAATTTCATAACAATAAAGGCGTACAGAACTAGTCTATGAATACCTAACTATTAAATCGCTTTTATGTTCCGTTATTTTCGGGTTACAAATATAATACTGGTTATTAATCAATCTAGATTGAGGAGTTCCCTTTTAATTATAACTACGTACCTATCTGTTCTTTGGAATCTTTTCGCCTCCTTTGGACGATGACGAAGGAACATTCATTTATCTTTTCCTCCCTTAGCGATTCATCTTGACGAAAGTTAGTTACATAGAATTAATTTTCGTGCGGGTTACGGACGTTCCAATCAGATGAACAGTCATACACGTGTTTGTTTTTCTGTCGCTTTTGTGGTGTCAATAGTTTGTTTGCAGATTGAAAGGTATTGGACTAAAATACTTTTTTATGGAATCCATTGTTTCTAGTAGAATCGACATCTTTTCGGGATAGCTTTGCTATGGTAAATTAAGACCTATACATATATATATGTCGCGGAGAACCTAACGGATAACCGGGGCTCCGGCTCGACGTGCAGGAGAAGGAACAGGGTGGTTTTTAGTCAGTAAGAGTCTGACGCTCCCTCGAGCAGTTATTCGATGATTTTCCCTCCTTAAAATAAAGAAAAATACACATATATATAAGAGATATGGTATATAAGAGAGTCGAATAAAAATATGTTCGTAATTTAAGTAAGTCTTCAAAGATGAGATTGGTGTGATTACTTTTCGTAAAGTTTTCATGAAAACATTTTCTTAATCTTCAGTTATAGATGAGGTATGTTTTCTAATTTAACTATGTGATTGCCCTAAGGAATAACTTGTCCTGTTTGGTCAACAAAAATACATTTCAAATTAAGTCTCAATCTCTACTTTCTGGGATATATTTCTTAGCACATTTAGCAAATGGAAAATGTAGATTAGGTAAATACGTATCACTTTTATCGCTAACGAAATAAATAAAGTCATCTAAAGTGATGATTTTAGTGGAAAATTGTAAGGATAAACTTCTAGAATAGAATAGAACATTGACTGCCTCGTTGGTCGAGTGGTCGCAAGTGCGACTGCTGGGCAAAGTAAAAGCTTGGTTTTGATCCCCGGGTTGGGCAAGGTATTAATGGGTATTAAAAAAAAAATTAGTAGAAGGACGGAGTCTGGAATTGTGTCCGGTATATGGCAATAAGCTCTCTCTCTATTACATGGGATTAAAAACATAAATAACATAAATAGTGAAAAGTGGGTGTTACATTGTACAGATACATTAAGTGTCCTAATGTGCACCTCTGCCTACCCATTCGGGGATAAAAGGCGTGATGTTATGATATGTAGTCTCTTTACATCGGCCAAGATTGCTTGGCTTAGTAAGAACCCGGCCTCAACTGAGTTGTAGTTGTAGGCTATATCATTAGGCGGTTGCTTCAAGCTAGCTCGCGATGAACACGGTATCAAATGTACCAACTTGAGGTTGTCGACCTTCATTTATTTTATGCAATAATATTCTGTACATGTTTTCAACTTATTTTCTTTTTTGCAGATCTATGCCATGGTGTGCGTAATCTCGCAATTCCAAGAGTACCTCGACGGTCGTGGAACTGCTGCTTTCGAAAACGTTGATCGGGTAAGTTCCCTTCTTAAAAAATTATCATATTGATTACTTTACCTCGCATTCAACTTTTAAGTACGTTACATTCAGCTTCTGATAAGGTTAAGAAGTGTTTAAACAATAGGTTTCGAGATTCTGTCCTCTTATTAAGAACATTTGCTTAACCAAAAGCTGTTACGACAACCAAATTACAACTAATTAGCATTACTAGTCCATTAGCACTTATGAGTTCAATATTGCATTAGCTAAACCAAAATCCATCAATTTCCATGCTCCAATGCTTTCATGTGCATTAATATGTAACGTCCAAGCATATACATAATCGAGTGTAAAGCTCCATAATAATTAATCATGGCGTGTGCCCAATGTTGCATAAAAATCCTAACCGCGGAATAGGGTGTAGCTTGGTACCCATTAGTAAATTACATATAGGTACAGTTGTGTCAATATAATTAGAAAAGGGCTACCATACCGACATAAATATTTTGATTTATCGACATGAAAGAAGATAAGAACAAAAACGCTGGAATAAACGTGTTTACGAGTTTCATGATGCTAAGGGATTTATCGAGGCTTTCTATCAATAAAGCCGTTTATCGCCAGACCAACCGAAAAACTTTTATCGGAACGATTGGGGAACGATATCCCTTAACGCACTTTTGGTTCTAAAATAGTTGCCTAATTGATATCGACCGGACTTTCAGCGGCCGAAACTTGAAACTCGGAGAAATGGTCGTTTGTGCACGATAACGATATAGATACACTACGTTATTTTACCCGAGGGTATCGTTAGAGGCGACTTAACGGATACTGTTTGGAGAATCTGACATTCTTCTTTTGGTCTTAATGAGAATACAGGAGCGGTTACACTTGTAGATAAATGGATAGTCACACACAGAATATGTGCGGAAACATTATAGAAATAGCGTCCATGTTGAGAGATGATTGTATAGTGATTGTTAGTCTCAAGTAGTGTGGACACGTTTGGCGGAGTCACGTCGGTCTACAATGCGGTTGGACGTGGCTCGCGGCTCGTAATCCAACTACAATAAGGCAGACACTGTTTGGTTCACTGTACGCCATTAGTCCTTTTGATCACAGTTGGCATGTTAATCAATCACCTTAGCGAAGCAACATTACAGCGTGTGTTGTGTATGAGATCGATATAAAATCGTACCCTCATGTAAAGTTTGGGAGACGACCACTCACGATATTACGTGTCAGTATGCCTTGTCTTTAGTAATATTGCTCAATAATGTTTTTATCTATCTTTCACTTATTTATATTTACACTATACGAATAAGATAGATCAATTAAATGTTATGCCTAGGTTGATTTCTTGCCTCATTCATCTAGAAATCAAATGACCCATAAGGTATTTGTTTCAATTCCGGAATTGGTCAAAGTACCAATGTATTTATTCGTGTACAGATGTATTTAAATATATTAGAACTTAAAATTGTACAACTAGTTAACTGTGGCTCGAAACTAGTAGAGCTTTTCTCAGTACGTATATTCACGTGAGTAACGAGCGATTTATAGTTAATTTAGTATTTCTTACGATAGTTATCATAAAAACATACATTTAAAGGTGGAAGAGCAATGCTTCGGCAAATCATTATGATATACTTAATGCTGTATTATATTTTTTAATGATTGCTGTAATACATAATAAAAACACTGCCAAGGGCACTTACCAATTATCTCTAAGAGGGGTATGGAGGACAAAATGTCAGTCACTCCAAGTGAAACGCCGACTGATATTCTTTATGTTTTAAAATTGTGTTCTGGCTTCGCATCGACCGCTTTATTTCTCTGCACTTCCCTATGGTTGACTTGCGTTGACTTGTCGTTGCCTTAAGGCATTAAGTCCGCCATTCACGGCAATTTTTTTTGTGAAGAAGTAAAATATTTATAAATAGATATCCAAGCTAATCTCGGTAAGAATTATTTATTTTCTTCAACAATACTGAGATCCATAGGACTACACTTGTGGTTTATTCTATTTACTAACATAGGTAATGTATACGAGAACATGTACAACCGGATCTACGATTGTAAACGACAGTGGACCCGCATGACGGCTGCCGGACCGGACGCTCAGTGGTTTCAGATCGTATTTATCTACAGATTGTTTGGAAATTGCGTTACCACCGGCATAATTGCGGTTACTGTTTGATTGGGCATTCAAATTTTGCCATATACTTGACATTCTGTTATTTCTACTATTTCTAAGCACCTAACGAAAAAATATTGTACTTACTTCATGCAACATAATTGTAACGTCTTTCATTAAGTGCAAAGGAAAGGTATAATTAAATTAATATTACGTCATTTCCCAGTTTGGATTTGTCATAACATAAGCACAGGATATAATCAATTCAATATCTACTAGAATTTGTACATTTCTGCAATAATTTTGCATTAAAGTAATACTATCAGGAGGAAAACTGATAGTCTGAGGCCTTAGTACGAGTTTATTTTTCGTTTAAAGTAATCGTAACGAGACGGCGTTCTGTGCTCTGATTGGTTGGTTCATTAGAGCCGGCCAATCAGAGTGCCGAACGCGAACTCGTTTCGAATACTTTAAACGAAAATGAAACTCGTACTAAGGCCTCTGACTAGCCTAACGAGAAATGTCGTGCTATTTTCATCCCTAGTGGGATGTGGGACCAAATTACCGTCATGTTGTGTGAAATACTAACATTCAACTGAACTTAATACTCAACATAACAACTTGGAGCTACACGAGTGGAACGTAAGCAGTTATTACAAAATTATTTGTAATTCGAATCGCTATTTCCGAAGAGGTTAATGGAAAATTATAACTGTATTTCCTTCGTTATCTTATAGCACTGTAAAGCACCCCATCAATATGACAACGAGATGACTTATACCTCAAATATCTTACGGAGATAAACAATATCTTTCATTTTTGTTGTCGTCGTACAAAGAAGTCATTTTTTTACTTTTTCGCTTGGAAGCTTGCTATAGAAATACACAATATGCTTAGACGAAGCCTTCTTCGTATTTTTCGTTACATACTTAGTTAAATTAAAATGTTCTATGTAATGAAAGATTGTTAGTGCTTCGACTTAGAAGCATTTATTGTGGAAAATAAATTCAATGTACATTCCTAATCCAAAAATCTAAAAGCTGACATTCTCATATTAGGGAATTACATCAATATTTAAGTGAATTACTTGTACATGTATATAAAAGCAATACAAACAGATCACCTTTGGCGTCACAGCTTGTTATATATAGAAACTATTTTCGACAAAGGATACCACCACTTCTTCTACAATTTATGTTCAGTTTGCAGCATTTTCTTGCAGCAAGTTTTATCACCAATTATTCAAAGTTACTCTTGTAATAAAATTAGTCGAGTGTTTTGTTAAATGTTCGTACCAAGTTTACTTTACAGTCTAACGATATTAAAACATTAATAATATATTATTTATCTTTAAAATTATCTGAATGAAGTTAATTCAACCCTTCGAAGCGCAGAAACTCATACTCGTACACTCTAAGTACGAAAACTTTCCACTCAATATTAACTAGAACTTATCTCACCGTTTTAAACTTTAAACAAACTCACGATGAACGTTAAAATTTCATTTAAATTTAAGAGTATTTCATTAAAGTAATAATTACATTTTTTAAACTCTTTGTTTAAGTGAGTAGAGAAAAATCGATCTAAACCTTTATAGCGATTAATAATATTTTAACTTCTTATTTTTATCACACCTATTCATCTATTTAATAAAAATTCAGTTTCAGATCGAAACATGAAATCGTCTTTTACTCTTTTTATGGCTAATTGTTTGATGTTTTTTTTGATCAAGAATACGGTGCAGTACACAGCAACGGCTCAACAGACTACTACCACCAGTTCTGCTCCAAGTGGCCGCCGCCGCTCCGCTGCACGACCCATGCCAAGCCGTTGTGACCCTGAGGAATTCTCCGAAGCGCCCACCAAAATTATCAGTAAGTTACATTTATTTACTGTCAAGAAAAGGAAGAGTTTTCTATGTGTGCTGAATACTAAAGTTGAAAATCATCCAAAATTTGAATAAATTCATTGTAAGGGTGATGAAGCAGCGAATTTTTGTGACTAAATATTGTTATCATACAAACGAATGCAAAGGAAAAAGAAAGAAATATAATATCTACATTCTTAATCGCAGTCACCTGAATACCCGATAATTTATGTTTGGGTCTAAATATTAGAGATGGTTACTGATACTAATTATAGCGCCACAAACTCTACTGCCATTGACAGTATTTGGAGCTAGTTTACACGTCTGTTCACAATGCAGTTCTGGCGACGACGTGATAGGTTTAACTTGTTGTCTGACAATTTAAAATGCCTTGGCTACCATTAATAATGAACCAGTGTTCTAGATTCAGCTGTCTTAAAATGGAATGTGCACTTCAGATTCCATTCCTAAGAAGACGAGTGGCTATTGTTAGATAAAATTTCTCAGCTGCTGTTAGCAGTTGGGTTTACATAATACAAAACACGAATGGTAGTATTATATATGAATGTACTACCTACATTATTTTCCATAGCTGTCTACGAGATTGACAGAGCTTTAAAAAGTTCAATCTCATTTATTCATTTATCGATTTTAGCTCCACGACAAATATCGGACGAATACACAGAGCCACGACCTCAGACCAGCCAAAGTACGTTGCGTAAGTACAGCAATGTGCTGTTTAAGTAACGAAAATAACATTGGTGAATGTCTATCACATGTGACCTAATATTGCTAAAATTTGTTTTGTCCTGCGTCTAAACATGATTCCAACACAAATCACTAACCACCTCCATAACACAGTACACTGTGATGTCGCAAGTTTGTCACCACGCACATTATTTGTAAACCAACAACCGTATAATAACAAACCAGAATGCGAACAATCGCATCAAAACCAAATCAAGCATGATCCCCTTCGAATGGAGCACACAATGGGAAAGTTAACTGAGGTAAATGTAACCTAAAAACAGTATTTACTCACCACTCTAGAAAGATGGACGAATGTACGATGGACGAATACAAATTAAGTACTGTATAATGCATGTGATCACTAATCAGACGTCACTGATCGTCGGAAATCGTAAGTGATAGGTAAAACTAAATTGGTCGGCTTTCAGAAACCAGTAGTCTTAAGCAAAACTAACTTTAATATTAAATGGAATTCTAAATAGCATGCACCAATCCTAATCAAAAATACTAACAAGGTACCCAATAAAATTTAATGGACCATGCTTTACTGTGCATGCTTGATCCTCAACAGTTTTACGGTTATTTCCTATTGACTTTTCCTTGTTACTTCTGATATTCTACGCGATTTTCTTAACATAGAAATATACGCTTTAAAAAATGCACAATCAATGTTGCTTATAATTTGAAACTAATTATATGTTTGTCGGAAATTGATAAAGCCATGAATGAAGATATGTAGAGAAGACCGAGTTATTTAATTTTCTACATATTATAAACATAATATCATTGAATATTATAGATTTTAGTTTAACAAATAAAATTCGGTACAGAAAACACAACATATCAAATTGCCACGGAAATGAACAGTCAGAGATGTGTCCCTGACAGTTCGTTTCCGGACTATTATTATTATAACATAAATATTGTTTCAGTATGTATATATTAAACAATATACCAACATGTATTAAAAGTTTATTTACCATTTGTTGCCAGCTGTACAGACTTATCTAATATAGAGAAAATCTAACAATAGTAATGAAGCATGGTATAGTATATTTATTTTTATATCCGAGAAATTTGAGTGTTGGAGTGACAAAAATATAAACAGAGAAGTCGGTACTCGGAATCTAATATTACACAGCATTAACTTCGGAAATGAGTCGTCTCTAGTCGACTGCCATTGGGTCGCATTATAATTTTGTTGCGTACATTATATAAGTTAGGAAGTTCGTTGGAAAAGTTACGTTATAAAAAAAAACGTGAAGCGTGCGCGTCATAAATCATGAAAATTCTTTCATACTGTTTGAATTTTATACGTTAAAAGCAACAACTATGTCGAAGTATAGGAAAGTTTTTACTTATGGTACCAGAAGAGAATTAAAGTTAGAATTGATATTTAATGGTGATAAAACAGACACAATATCGCGCTCATATTTCTTATAGTGACAGATATTGGTATCTAGTAGACACAGTGCCCATGTTTTCCTACTTATGAAGATAAATTCGAAACACTGATGCACTTCACCACAACCGAATTTCCCAAACGAGAAACCAATTACTGGGATCTACAGTAACCAAGTTATTAAACTATTTATACCTGTTATAAAAGTATTTTGACCAAGCTTACTGTGTAAAAAAAGAATAAGGGTCAATATAGTGCGATCAATGACATTTTCTGATAATTAATCTTGTATTTTTTCTTTTCTCACTGTATTTAAATACTTTCGACGATATATTAATTTGAAATATCGTTTGACGTCACAGCGTGCCACATTTTGTAGCACGTTATGACGTAACAACCTACCACGTTTCTCCGTTGCATAGAAAAAAGAAAAACGCAGAGAAAAATGCTTGCAATCGACTCTTGAAATATTTAAATGTGATCCGTATTTAATACTCTATCGATGGACTCGGAATATGCTGATGTATATGTATATTATAAAGTAAACATGTCCCTGCATTGAGTTTCTTGAAGCGTAAGCGCTTTATTACGTTTTTTATCAAAGGAAAATCTGTAACACGTTTATGTATAAAGTTTCGACTTTGTAAATAATAATATTTGCTGCGTCCGCCACGTTTGTGTAGTTTATGCAGGCAATATACGCGAACATATTTCACTTTATTTTCACTACATGTTCAATTAGAAAAAAAACTTTTACAAGTCAAAGAAAAGTATAGACATTTTATGAATTTAGTTACTGACTGTATATTCCAGTGGCATCTCATATCAGGTAATGAGGTCGAAAAAGCTTTTGTTGTGTGCAGCATGTTACAATTAGATATTTAAACATTAAGCTAGAGAATATCCAAGTAATTAAAATTCACAACCTATGCATGTCTTCAACGATGGAATCTCAAAAACATGTACAAAGATAATCAAAAGACAACCTACAAATAAATATGATATCAATGAGGCGACTGAGATCAGTAGATACTAGAAATTAACTGAGAACAATAATACGCTAGCGAGTTCGCGAGGCAAAACATTGCACATAAACACACTATAAGTCCCATAACCAAAAGTAAAACCAGTTTACTCAAGGGTAACGTTAGCTTACCCTAAATTTAACGCCTGTTTACCCACGAGTGACGTCATGTTACACATTGGAATTTTACACCTGATATAACTTTACTCCGAGTGTGTAAAAAGGTAGAAAAAATACCCACCCTTCTAAATCTTAAACGTACACAAGCTACCTAATGATTGCCATTGAATATGTTTGTGAATATGGCAAAGTTGAGTTATAACTCTCCGCAGAACATTTGGAGTTCCGACTTCGAAATTAACTCTTCGAAATATTTGCGAATCGAATTATGTGTGTAGAAGCGACAGCGATCAATTAAGGTGAATACATGTTGCGGCTGTATACTCGTAATGGGAAACTATTTCGTTGATATTATTCGTGGAACGAATGTAACTTGGGTGATTAAGGAGTGACTAGCATGAAGAGGTGTCCTACAAGTCGTTAATTGTAATGAGTTATATACCAGCAACCGTTAAGGCGAGTTCATACTCGCGGGTTTATCTCACTTCTTCCGAAAGACTGACTCTTGGGCTAGACTTCGAATACGGAAGACGCTGTTAAGGCCCCAAAACTTTATTGTACCATATAAGTAAGAAATCTTAAAGAAACACATATCAAAGAATTTTATATCAAATTATTAAATTATTAAAAAATATTTTGACATGGCAATAAAAATGTTTTTCTAGAAAATAAATTTTCTGAGAGTCATATTGTTTTATAAAAGGATACTTGTCTTGTCTGGCTTGAAACAAACACTTATAAAAATTTCCAAATAGGTCCTTATATGAGAAAAACAAAGGACTTGAATACCTTTTTATTAGGCAATTGTATGCTAAAAACAGGTACTTAACCTGTACTGAGAATTAAGAGTACTCAATATTTTGTTATTCCATTACATACACTCATTGTACTTCAATCAAGAAAATACACGTTCTTTCTATTTATTTTCTTAGAAAAGGCACAAAAATCGATACTAAGATTTCAGTACGAGGTACTTACGTGAATATATTACTAAATCTGTTCACACGCTTCCATTTCGTTGTAATAGCTACACGAGTCTTGTAAATATGCCTTTATATTATAATTTTGGAGGATAACGCCTGTAATAGAAACTAAAAGCCGGCTATTCAGATACTTGAGATTCTCATTGCTACGAAGGTCTACAATGCCTACCTATGTTACTGTGGGGGATTTTCACCTTGATTAACGTAGTATCATACCTAGTATTTAATAGGTAAAATAAATGTTTCAGAATTTCTTAGACATTCTGCTTTGACACCAACAAAAAGCAACCTCTTTTTACCATTTGTTGTTTAAACTTACATAACAAGTTTGTGTCTTCTATCGACACATTATACTTCTGAGCCCGCGACTTCGTCCGTATTGAATAGTGATTCACAGCTCCTCTCCCGTTGTTGATGTAGCCTATATGTTGACCTGACCTGTTAGTAATATTCATGCAAAATTTGAAGTACTTCAATGCAGCACTTTTTGAGATACATACAGACAAACAGATAAAAGTTCTATACAAACCATATTTTTGGTTTCGGTATCGACTGTAGATCACGCCCAAGGCATTATTTAAAAAAAAATATTCGATGTACAGTTTTCACTTTCCTACGATTTCATTATATGTATAGATTATTTAATTAATCATTTTAATATCATAGTAGTCATAGTTTATACTGCGTCATACCCAACATATGACATCGACACGAGCGACATTCACTCGTGCCGAGTATATTTACAGGGTGCGCGGTTCCGTAGTAAATGCATCTTCATTTCTGAATATAGCCAGGTGCAAAACTAGATACCTAGTCTCAAGAAGCATTAAGCTTGTAAAGTGGAGCTTGGGTGTCGTAAATAGAAGACATATGTCTTTTCAAAATAGAGTAGATGACAAATTTTTATTTTAATGTCCGTCTGGTAGATTATTTAAAAACATTAGACCCGTATTTTTATTTTCTTACTGAAACGAATAGTTTTGAAGATATATTGATTTGAAATATCACATGACGTCATTTTTGAGTACGATTTATACTCTATAATGACGTAGCTGCCTCCCACTCCTAAACTTTGAATCGTTCGTTCGTTCTAAATATTGTTTTCCTATACGACAAAATAAAAGAAAACGTTATATTAATATTTTTTCATTACCTAACTAACGGACTAGATTTTTAATTTTCATACCCTGTCATCATCCCAATTGTGTAAATCAAGTAGCCCTATTAATAAGATAATTTTAATAATGTCTTCCTGTATTTTTAACACTTTAAGGATTTGCGACCTACTTGAATATTCGTGAGCTTGGTATTATTATCATTGCATTCACTCAAACATATTATGTAGTTCCTTCTCTAACATATCACTGAAGATTAAACTAGCGAAGTTCATCACATGTGTAGTTTTTGAAAGAAATTGTAATATCTGAATTCTGTTTCGGTGTCTTCTCAGAGTAGTCAGTTAGGAAATGCCACATCTGGCTTTGTTTTAGCAGTATGACCTCTTGACGTCATAAAGTGTATTTGCCTATTTTGTAAAATAAACATTATATTTTATGAGTTATTTATTTGACAGCCTACCGAATCGGATAAAGATTGAGATAGAAAGGATAACATAACATTACGCCTTTGTATCCCTGAAGGGGTAGGCAGAGATGCACATTACGGTATTTAATGCTACTGTACAATGTAACACCCACTTTTCACTATGTATGTTATGAGTCCCATGTAATAGGGGTGAGCCTATTGCCATACACCTGTCACAATTCCAGACTCCGTGCTACTACTCAGAATTTACGGAAGCCTAGTTTCCCAAAATTACCTTTTTTACAACAAAGAAATAAGTTTGTAAATAGTTACTACTATTCCTAAAATCCTTTTCTTAAAATAGGATGTCAAAGCAGGTCTTGATAAGATTGCTTTTATCAAAACAATCTATCTGCTCCACCTATTTTTCTATTAGGTACTATGACTTACACGTTTATTTATTGTATGGCAAAGAGCTGGTAGTTTTTACGCCTTAAAATACTTCTTTATAAGACAGTCAAGGATTACTGCCAGCCCCTATGACCTTAATACGGCTACCTCATCACATATTAATGTTGATCGGATTTTTGCCCTTAGAGTTATTTTGGCCTGAGACTATTTATGTAAATCTTTTAGAATAGACAAGTACTAGGTGATACAAAGGAAAATAGTTTATATTTTCTGTACAAGGAATTTTCTATAAATAATGGGAAAGTAAACACACATTCAAGCTGAAATAGATGTTAGCGGAATCGTGAAGCAATCCACGGTGCGCCAAAAATACTTAAATATGTATCATCATTAGGGGAAGCTTCCACATACACCATTGTACCGTATAAAGAATAATTTATGTGTTAAGTATGTTTTAATCACGGCTTAAATAATTAGGAAGCACATTTCTGTTAGCAACACTTCATCTTAACAAACAATATTTCATGTAATATCAATGTTATAATAGCTAAATAGAAGCGTACTTAGAGTAAAGTAATTGCTCATAAACATCAAGCAATAGGTGATTAGTGTCTAGCTTAATTTTGCAAACAATACTAGAGGCCCAATACCCCCCCCCCATACCTGAATTTCCAACAATCCTCAAATTCCTAATCTCCAAAAGGCAGGTAACGCTCTTATAACGCCTCTGGTGTCCCTAATGTCCATGAGCGTCGCCAATTGCTTACCATCAGGTGGTCCGTCTGTTCGCTTACCGGCTTATTCCATAAAAAAACAAACAAACAAGTGTTTCTATATAAATATCGTTGACGTTGAAGGTCGTGGGGACTTGGAAATTAAGGCGTTTGTTTCACAAGTTCGGAATAGCGGCATCTTACACGGCAAGTACCACCCAATATGACTTTATAAATACACTATATAACTAAAACACATATTTATTACGTAAAAGTAGATATGAACCAAATCATTATATAATCGTTTATACTAAATTAGCACTTAGCACTGAGCTTTTTTAGAGGGGGAAAATCATCCAATGACTTCTCCCATCCGGGTGAGGCGAGAAGGAGAGTCTTACTGACTAAAAACCACCCCGTTCCTGCGCCTGCACTTCAAATTGGAGCCCACATACACTATTTTACCCTCAATTATCTAATTAAACTTTTTGAGATGACTTATGTTCGGCAGTCATGTTATGAATCTTAAGAAGACCCCTATAAATAAAAACAAATAAAATCTAAAGTCGCAACAATACCCTAACAATCAACGTTTAAGTATTTTTGTGATAATTTCATGAACTTCAAAATTATTACTACTATTATTTATCATTAAAGGTAAAGACATTCCTGAAACTAAGAAAGGAGCTCAATCACGAAGTCAATTGATGCAACATGGCAAGTAGCTATCTACTTCTTTAACTCTTCTCATCGTCTTTACGATTCATTTTCACACAATAAAGTATCAGCAAAAAGCGCCAATTGTTACATTCGTGTTCGTAAATAGCACTAAGAAAGAATTACAATATTTATGCACTTCTTGTCCAATAAGTAGTCTCATTTATTCGTCAATATAATAAAATAATTAATTTTCAAACTCAAGAATTTCAATTTTGTCGTTAAAGATGCAGAATCAAAATCAACAAGTAAATCTCGTGCTAAATGGACATGTGGCAAGTAACAATTAGATCTCAAATCAGTAGTAGATACATCATAAAATTAATTAGCTATGCAAATAGTACTATTGGGAATCCGTAAATAAACTATCCGTAATTACGCATGTTATTTTCACAGAGGGAAAACTGCGTCGGAAGTTAATTCTGAATCCGTTATCAGCGCTCATCAAAGGTAAATGAGGGCTATCGCGCCTGATTTTGCCCCCAGGGGCGCTAATGGAAACTGAGGTCTCTCTGAGCCAGTAGAATATTGTGTATATCTAGACATTCAATTTTGAACAGTAACCGAACCGACCATAAGCACCTTTAGCGCCATCTCGTGAGCACAAAACGATAGCCAATATTGCAGTAATGTCTTTACAATATTTAAAAGCAGAGATTATTCATAATTTTATTATTAAAGGTCGCCATTTTCCTGATGCTAAGAAGCAGATAGTTTCTCAAGCTACGTGCAAATTGATAAAACCTGGCAAGTATTGACTTTCTTGGAACGGCTTGATATGACACTTGTAAGATAGGGGCGATACTATTGCCGTTTATTTGACAAAATTGAAGACTCCAACCAACCGAAACTTTAATGACCCTAATCTGATTTAATACTATTTCTTAGTTGTGTCGTTGCTTAGTAGTTGCTTCCAAATATTGTTTACTTAACAGAATTTTTATTATCACTATAACTTCCACGGTTATATCATTAAAGGTCGCGATGGTTTGGAAGCTAAGAAGTCCAATTCTACAACTCGAGGTAGCGGGACTAAACTTGGCAAGTAACAAAGTGACTTTTAAATATTTACAATTGTTTTTAACAAACGCATACAGTTTCAGATAAAATTGATATGGACAACGCTTTAAAACAAAAATTGGGAAGTAATATAAGTGAATTAGGCTACAGTACCAATAAAGTTTGTGTTTAGGAGAAGCCCTATACTGCTACACAACACTTTTGTCTTTCATTAACCTTAACCTTTTCTTAACCACATAACCAAGAATTAAGAATGAACCACACATAACTTAAAATTAACCGGTTTTTATATTTTCAGGTGCATGTCCTAATATTTTTACTTAACACAAGAAAATATACTAACAATAGCTTAAAGCTAAAATATTTTTATAACACACCTATTTTAAAAAACAACGAATCACAATCAAAAAATATGATTAACTAAATAAAAAAATTGGCTCTTTATCTACGTACAAAGATTATTGTCAATTTTTTGATATTATATCGAAAAAATACCCGCACACATAATGTCTTTTAAAATTTAAATACGCCTTAAATGTGATCGTCGCTTATTCGTGTTTCATAGGTAATAAGGTATACATGAGTAAAATGATTAATGTTATTTCTTATTCATAAACAGCTTCTGTCCTGTCGAGACCAAGCCGCTCCGCCGTGAAGAAGCACGTACAGTTCCCTGATGAACAAAGCTGCATCGAAGAAGCAATTGAAGCACCTCAACCAGGTCCCAACGAGAAACCGGGTGAGACCATTTTCCCAATGTGCCCCTGCTCATGCCATATATTTCCCAGGTATGCGGTTATTACTTATTAAAATATGCACCACGTGTTCACGGTAGAAGTCATCGACTCCTCATACTCACGTCTTCGTTACTCAACTTCGACCAACATCGGCGGAACGAATGTGTAATGTTCTTAACATACGTGATGTCATTTGTAATCATTTTATAGCCTAGATTTTATATAATCACTAGCTCTTGTATAGTGTCCGTGATTGTGAATGCACAAAATATCATACATAACAAAATCATTACAGAATGACATTAATTTCGTGTTTAGCTTGAATATAAAAGTTCTTCTGAATTTCAACACGGTCAAGAGCAATGTGATGTTTTTCACCAAAGCTTAAAGCCAATGCATGTTAATTACTATGTTGGAGCAGACAAGTTCGAACACGTCTATTCTATGTACGATCCAGCGGTGTTACTAGACCCTCAACTAACTTTTTATGACCACATTAGGACTATCAATGAGTGTTATCGCAGATTTAGTAAGTTCTAAGTAAGCATTTAATATGGCTCGTGTCAGAATCAAACCGGAATCTGCGTTACTGATTCCTTATAAGATTACTTACACTCTAATGCTTGAAATAGTACAATAAGTATTCTTGAGGTTTTTGTACAAAAATCGGTTCGGCTATTAGCCATATCATCCTTCTCTGTATCCCACAAAATTTCCTATTTGGCATTACTTACGTTTTAATTCTGTTCAGGTAAGGGACGTAATTACTCCTTGATGATCACACTGCGAGTAGAATCTGACTGCCAAGAGATTGTATGGCAGGTGATGCGGTTGGCAGGGTCCCAATCAACTTTGACCACGCCAGAAATCTTTGCCGGCTCTACTGGAAAAACGTACAGTCTCACTTACAAATTCTCCTCTGATACGAACGCCCGAGTACTTGCCATCCTCAATTTTTTAATGCTGACTTCAACACCGGAGCGTCACTTGTTTATAGAGGTGGATATAGACACATTGGTCTAAGATCCCGGTACAATAAGACCTTTACTGAGATGCTTTTTAAGAGTGGGAGAGGCATACTTCGGCACAAATGGGCCGACTCGTAAAAATATATCTCGTAAATATAATATACTCGATAAATGAATGTTTAATAATCCATATTTATAACTTTATAAATAAAAATGAATTTCCGTTCGTTATTCTCGCTAAAACTCGAGAATAGCTGACCCGATTTAGTTAATTATGGTCTTGAAATGGACGTGGGAAGGATTTAAGTGAAAATAAAATTAGGTAGTATGAAGTTTGCGGGTCAAATTTTTATAATAAATCTGTAGGGATAGGGATCTGTAGTTTTATAACAGGTATAGGCATATTATACATGCATGTTTGTGTGTTTGTGTGTACAGCTGACGGGACCTATTATGGTCCTATGAAATTTGGAACATATTATGGTCTGAGTACCTACTTTCTAGGCTAATTTTTACCCCCGGGAACGTAAGCGAAGTCACTGACAGAAGCTAATACTAAATATACCTACCGCTTACTCGAATCAACTGCAGCCGAAAAAGTTTTATAAATGTTAAGACAAAAATATAATACTAGTGTTCTATAATTTTTGTTGGCGTTATCAATAGTTGATGAAATACTTCACAAAAAAAACGAGAGATGGCACTATTACGAAGATTTGACGAATGATTAAAAAACCCATTTCTCGAATTATGTTGTGCTTGTACGACGGGGGTAGGGTTAATTATAATACAATATTATGTTGCCTACCCTGTTCCGAAAACCTGTGCACGCCGCTACTTAACAATCTGTAAGAGATGACAAGACGAAACAATAATAATTAATTTTATTTCACATATTGTATCATTTTCTTTATTTAAATGACATTAATTTTACATTTTATGTCTCATTTTTTATGTTTGTGTATAAGTTAATTTGTGAATAACCAAATAAATGAATTGTACAGAAATCTCGAGGATATCCTTCTACTAAAATACCTGTTTATTAAGTTATAGTACCTATATTACAAAGCAAAGAAGGTCAGTATCAAGTAATAAACACATTTTAATTTACTCTCTTGTGAATACCACTGAAATTAACAACCGTTTGAATCCTAAAACAAGAGTTCTTTGAAAATAATTACATTTTTGTGCGTAACTTTTTTAATAAAAAGACGTTAAGCCTGTATAAAATATGAAACTATGCAATAACGTTTTAGCTTCAATATGATTAAATATGAGCGCTGCAATAGAAATATAGTCGTCCGTTAAATATTGTCTGTCGCGTATGATTACCTACTTGAGAAGCTCAATGCTTCTATCGGGAGCCACTTACTTATATGAAATATTTTATTAATGGCATAAACGTTTACATGGAAACTTTTGCCATACAATATTGATCATAGATTTGTGAAACTGTCTGACTCTACAACTTTTTGTATTTGATGTCAACCTTCATATCTTTTGAGCCCATGTATTAGGCGTGTCTGTTATCTTGTCACTCATATCGAATCGTAATACTAGCTAAATGTTTCTGTTAACAAATATCGTCGAGAGAATATTTGAGTAGTAGATGTTCTATGCGTATTTTTGTTTGTTTTTTATAGCTTCTTGATTACTATAGGTGTTAGTTGTTTGTGTTCAGAAATGTTAAACAAATGCTTATAAAGTCCATTGAGTAATGGAAATTACCTTATAGGTAACTTAATAAGAATAGATAGGTACATACTTCTTCAAATCTCTGGTTGAAATTGAGCACTAAGGGGTGGGTAATTTTTTCTAAAATGTTTCAAACGTTATATATTGTTTCCGACCCTAAAAGTACGAGTTGTTACTGAACTAGCTAAAATCAATATGTCTTTGTAATGAACTATAAAACAACGTGTGAAACTAGGACTATTAGCGGTTTACTGTCGTGAAAGTTTTCGCCGTCGAAGGCAACAATTTTTCAAACTAGAAAAGTGTAAATCTGTAACTAAACTAAAGGAATCTAAATTGCCTGAACATTAATCACTATCTCATACGTTCAAGCGCCGTGATTTGCGATTTGTACGTGGCTTCCGTTTGAATAGCTCCAAACAGTTCCACAGCTTTCCGAGTATTCGCCGACTATAGGCACAGAAGCTATAAAAAATCTGAATTAATCTTAGAAACCATAGAAAACGAAGATCAGAATAAAATTCGTGATTTGTGGATATACATAATAGGTATCTACATAATTATAACATTCTCAAAACTTTAGCCAGTAATCTTGATTGAGCGAGGTAAATCTTTAAAACAAACATAAGAATTTATAGACAAGGAAAATATAATCATATTCTTTACCATGGATATGCTACAATACACTCTTTATTTATATTTCTTTCGTTTGTTCAGATACTATTCCATGATATAATCGATACGGTGTTCAGTTCCGCATCTTTGTACGAGTCTTTTCTCCATATCGTTCCTTACGAGTCATATGTAACAAAATATTTGCCATCAATACGTATTGAGCCGGACAAACACTAGAGACGTGGCAGTTGTCAATATGAAACGGTCGGCTACATGAGCATGAGACTGAAGTAACGCTCTAGTAAATAAGACATTCGATTGATATGGAGCTATGATAACTTTGTGACACAATTTTTTTTTTTTTTTTTTTTTTTTTTTTTTTTTTTTTTTTTTTTTTAAAAAACGTTGCCCCACACTAGGATTTTCTCCTGTGTCGTGGGTGCGTTTACAAACATACAAGTTCACATAACACAATGACACCCAGACCCGAAACAACAATTTGTGGATCACACAAAGTGTTGTCCCGTGCGGGAATCGAACCCGCGGCACGTTGCACGGCAGCCGGTTGCCCAGCCACCGCACCAACCGTGCAGTCTTTTAATTTAATTATACCTAAATAATACCTATCTTTAGTAGACAGACCTCAAGAGACAAATTCACATGATTGATCGAACTGAGATACTTGTATATTGTTACTGATTAATGTATTGGTAATCTTATTTATATAGGGAGAAAGTATGTTCTCAAATCCTGCCTCAAATCTTCACGTGCAGTTAAAGAACAGTAACAATAGTTAGGCAGCATAGCTTTCAGTAATTTTATGGTACACCGCACGCCATATCATCTCACCAATTTTCATTTGGAGGTAAGTTGTACGTATGCATACGAATACTACTATATATTACTAACACTGTGTTGTTGACTTAATATACTAAATCGTAGCATCAGACGAATGTTATAAACCACTGCAGGTTTCAATCACTTTAATCCTCTAGAGTACTATGGAATCCCAGACGTAAATGTAAAGCTAGCACAAAGGGCTAGAATAAATTTACACTATACCTTAGCCCGTCAATAACAATTTATTATTGTGGAAGAGATTGTCCATTTCAGTACATAATGCAACTGAAAAACTAAACCGTTTAGTCCTCTCATGAATTATAAACATGGGAATAGGTACTCGTCAGTAAAAATAATTTGAGAGAACACAACAACTGTTACAATTATTGTTATTAGTCCTGATACTGTAACGATAATAAACCGACATCTGAGTACTCGAAAAAGTTGACCTTGTAATTCCGGATGATGATGACGACAAAATTTCTGACATTCCTTGAAAAATTATGATTTTCCTACTGTGAAAGTCAAGAATAACAAATGTTAGTTGTATTTGACTAATTTGTTTTTTTAACTATAGAGGCACGCGTCATCTCCTCTTTGTGGATGGAATTGGAGTCGGAAGCTCCGGTGCCAGAGCGCTGACGCCGGCGGAGCGAGCAGTACTACCGGCCAGTTTCCCGAGCTCGAAACGAGCGTCGGAAAATGTCCGCAGCCGGAGTACCGCCCGCCGACGACTCCCAGAAGGATTCCCTCTAAACTAACCGACCACTGGACGCAAGGTGAGCGATCTTTTAAATTATTCTTCTTCTAAAAATAACAAGCCAAGGATTGGCTTGGTCCGGCCTGATGTGACGCAAGAGGTTCGAAAATTGATATTAGTCCTTATTATCTCGTAACACGCACCTCGTAGCGCGTAGCTCGTGGCGCGTAGCTCGTGGCGCGTAGCTCGTAGTGCGTAGTTTTTAACGCGTAGCAGCGTTTTTTAACAATCAAACTCGTAGTGGTTGACTAATACAGTCTTAGTCAAAGAGCATGAGTTAACCGTTTCGTATTTGTCATAATATTATGGGCCTGAACTTAAAAATATATTCAATGTTTATTACCTCCCTGTATGTGAAAATGTTTGTATATGTTTGCGCTTCGGTGTGGATTTTAATAAAAGAAAACTATTAACTTAAAATTCTCAAACACCTACAAATATGTTACGTTTTCTTTTTAAATATTCTTATAGATCATATTATTATGGCTGCTTGTTAGGGGTATATAGCTTAAGTAATGACCAATGACAGTCTAAGTTTTAACTATTGCTGTATTGGTGTTGCATAACAATTGCTGTCCTTTTATTTAATTAAACACTCTGAATTCCAGTAAATAAATAAAATACTGAACGTTTGCATTAATTTTAACAAACAAAATAAACAGAAAAACTTAAAACAAATCTGATGGATGTCGATCAATTAGTACCTACACAATGAGAAGTTTATTTAGAGCTATAATATTTATATGTAAGTATAGGAATGCGAAAGGACGCTGTCGGTCAAAGGTTCAACATTTATCTGGCCCATTAATGATCAAAGTCCCATAAGTTTGATCATTATACAACATAATGAAGAACATCAATAGGAACGGATGTCGTCACGGTGGCGGAGATAAGCTTCGATCACACCGCTCGATGTGTCTTATATACGATAACTATATCTACTAAAAGTCGAGGCATGCAATTAAATACTTACACAAGCAAAACTTTTAGGTCTTATTTGCTTCAATAATGCCTAAATCCCGGGTACCTACTGAACAAGCACTGCCCGCAGGTCGCTCTGTCCTTGAACTGCTTTTTTGAGGCCAGCGACCGTCTGGTAGCTGCCATTTAGTGCAAAAAAAGAATTCGAATTTTATTTTACACCTAAAAGTGACTAAATTTTTGGCCCCAAAACTGCTGAAGTGTAAAGTTTTGGCCGCAATCACATTAATTTGCAGGTCTGTCGTAAAATTTCACTTCGTTTTTATTGTTATTGCCAGGAATTATTTAAATAAATTCTGTTAGGTTGATATTATATACAGGTTATAAGCAGGTACTATGGTTATTGTAAATCGTGACGTTTTAAACATAGATGAAATGAAAACGTGAAGTAATCATATATTCTAAATAAATTTTAAAAATAACACTGTACTTTCCTTTGCAGGTATTATCTTAACATTTTCATAAATATGTATCCACATTTTCTTAAACGTAGTCTATGACTGACAGTATTCATGTAGCATAGCATTTTTATTAGTTTTCTTCTTCACAATAGAATACAAGTTTATTCATGAGAAAAAGCATACGAACTCCTTCAACTTGTAATAAATATACTATTCAGACTGTGCAATACCTTGTTACTCGACTAAGTATTTACGTACAACTGTTTCTTGTGTTTTATTTAATTCAAAGTATTAAGTATTTGCATGCAACTGAAATATTTGTTTCGGAATATACATAACAAGTCTATACAGTAGATGAAAGTGTATGTATTATAGAGGTATTATAGTACTAGCTACTTCGGCGCGGTTTCACACGCTCTGCTCAGCTCCTATTGGTCATAGCGTGATGTTTTATAGCCTATAGCCATCCTCGATAAATGCGCTATCCAACACAAAAATAATTATTCAAATCAGACTTGTAGTTACGGAGATTAGCTCGTTCAAACAAACAAACAAAAAACAAACTCTTCCACTTTATATAACAGTATAAGATTAAATTTAGTATACTTCTGTAGCCTATCTCTATCTCACAGTCTTTATAAAATTGACGAAATTAAATAAACTTAAGAAAAGATCAATAAAAAGAATGCAAAATTATTAATTTTTCCTTAGTTACGTCTCCCTCAAGCCATGCCATTTCATTCCAATGGCCAAGCACCCAAGATTATAAAGCTCTTCATAAAAATTCATTGCGTTATCAAATGACTGAGTGTAATTATTATACCTAGCTAGGTACCTCTTTTAACTGTACTTTCGTGTATTTTCAACTAAGTATCACTTTTGCTAATACATGCATTCTAATTTCGCTATTAAAAGCTATAGTAATTCAGCAGCACGTTGGCGGAGTAGTCGCAAGTGGGACTGCGGGGCAAGAGGTCTCGGAATCGATTCCCGAGTTAAGCAAAGATTTACTGGGTTTTAAAAAAAAATGTCAGTAGTAGCAAGGAGTAATGTGCCCGGTATACGGTAATAGGTTCACTCCTTATTACATGGGATTCATCATAACATAAATAGTGAAAAGTAGATATAACAATGTACGTAACGCGCACCTCTACCTACTCCTTCGGGGATAAAAGGCGTGATGTTATGTTATGTAAATACTGGGTGTCTACGCCACTGTCTTTTGTATTAAGTTTACTGATCGTCACTAGTCCTAAGTGTAGTCGAAGTGTGAATATTCTCTTTTCGCTATTAGTAATAGGTCTGGTGTGCTTATTGATAAACATTAAACACATAGACATTGATATAGATTGATATTATATATATATATATATATATATTGTTAACTTAAGAATATAGAGGAGCCTCAATAATTACGTATTCAACTTTCTTACTGTGATTATAGCTACGCAATTGCTTGTCTGTATTAACTAACATTTCTTATTTTGTTACAGATTAACCTCGATCAACATGAAGCTAATTGGCTGTACGCAAGCAGGGTAATGCGAGGCTAATTGAATTTGTTCCAAAAACAAAGCTATTTTATCTGTAGACGTATTCTTAAAGACTTTAGTCGATTGTTGCCAACAAGGTACGCTATCCTAAGCTGAAATTAAACCTTTTATTTAACATGTTTCAAAAATTTTAAAAATAAGTTTTTAACTTAAAGATTCATGGTAAACTTCTCGTCAACTTTTTACGAAAGTAACGTCTCGTGTCATTGCGTACCTGTAGTCTTAATAAAATACTTACTTTTAGTTCTACTAATTGGATTTAGCCTGGAGGACTCCGTTCCTCAACGTGATTGAACGCATTTACCCGTTTCGTATGAAAATTAGATTCAAAGGCAAATTGTACTATTGAATTACTGAAATGTCATTAGCTGGAATACGATATACTTAAATTGTCTTTAAAATGTAATACATAAACATAACCCATTTATCGGAACAAGTATAAAATATCATATTTATATTAATTATCTAAGTATTAAGAGCGCTGTTTCAATTTTTTCGTAGTTGATAGTTTGTAATCGGTTATAAGTAGATGGCTACTTTGTTTCGATACTTTTGCCGTGTTCCCACCTTTTGTTACATTATGTTGCATAGATTAAATACCTTATTTTGGTCATTTTACGTACTTAATAAGTGTTAGAAATTAAACACCTATTTATAGTCACGTGTAACAATATGTGGGTAACCAGCAAAATGGTTAAAAAAGAAGTAATGTAGCTGAACCCAACCTCACTTTCGTCTTTTTTAAATCGGATTACAAGAATCCGCCTTTAAATATTTCGGGCATTGGGTTACCGATGATTTAAAAGATAACGTCGACATGGAGAGGGAACGCAGAGCATTGTCAGTTTGTGCGAATATATTCGCACGCAGATTCTCTCGTTGTACAGACGCTGTTAAAATAACTATGATCACGGCGTATTTCACCTTACTGTACACGGTTAGTCTGTGGGTTAACTAAACCCAGAGAGAGTACAATGCTCTGCGGATCCAGTATAATAATGCATTCAGGACACTGTTGCGGCTCCCACGTTTCTGTAGTGCGTCAGCAATGTTTGCTGATGCTCATACCGATGGATTCGCTTCGTTATGGCGCAAAAAGACTGCATCGCTCATCAGTCGCCTGCGTGGAAGTCGCCACAGTATCCTGACTGCCATAGCCGGTAGACATGACTGTCAATTCATGTGGAAATTAGTGCAGCGGACTAAGTCCCTGTTTACTATTGCTTATTAATAAGTATTGTACCTAAATAGTTATATAGTTATGTATGATTATGTTCTTCCTTTACTATTAGATTGATGGATCTCAGTTATCTGAATAAATAGACTATTACTACATATTATTTTTTTACCATTCACAACATACCACGGCTGACGTAGCTGGATTTGGACATATAACAATATTGATATCCCAGATGTGTCACTTGTTCCGGAGGTTGTACGCCGGGGTCGTGCGGTCCATGGCTCTCTACGGCGCCCCTGTGTGGGCGCCGAACCTGATGCGGCGGCCCGCTCGGGCGCTGCTCACATCACAGAGGGTCATGGCGATCCGATTGATACGCGGATATCGCACGATCTCCGGGGAGGCGGCGAACCTCCTTGCCGGATTACCGCCGTGGGATCTGGAGGCGAAGGTGCTCGCGCGCGTGTTTTGTTTGCGCGCGGAGGCACGTCGCCGGCGCGAAACTCCGCTGCCGCGCCAGATTAATGCGTGGCGGGATGAGCTCCGGCGTGATCTCATGGCGGAATGGCAGCAACGACTGTCGCAACCGAAGGCTGGGCTCGCTGTCATTGCAGCGGTAAGTCCCCTCTTTGAGGAGTGGCTTGAGAGACGCTACGGCGTCCTCACCTACCGCCTGACGCAGGTGCTTACCGGACACGGAAGTTTCGGTAGGTTCCTGTTTCGGATTGGGCGGGAGGAAACGCCCGGGTGTCATCACTGCGAGGATCGCCCGGAGGACACGGTGGAGCATACGGTGGCGGTGTGTCCTGCGTGGACTGAGCACCGCCGTGTCCTCAGGAATGTGATCGGCGACGGCGACCTCTCGCGTCCGGCTTTGGTTCAGACCATGGTACGGAGCGAGGGGGACTGGGATGCCGTCTCCTCCTTCTGCGAAGCAGTCATGCTAGCTAAGGAGGAGGCCGAGCGCGTGAGGGAACGAACCTCGTCACGACCCGGCCGTCGTGAGAGACACTCCGGGCGTCGGGGATCGCGAGACGATCTCCGGCCACCGTAAGCACGGGCCTGCGGACGGCGAGCATGGGTGACTCGCCCAGAACCAGGCCCGAGCGTACGGCGCGTCGCGTTCCGCACGCGCCTTAAGGAGCCATCAGACCACCACAGATGGGGCCTAACAAGGCTGATGCCGATACGGAGCCGCGGTAGACTTAACGGGTTGCCGGGGCTCCGGCTCGAAGTGCAGGAGTAGGAACGGGGTGGTTTTTAGTCAGTAAGAGTCTGACACTCCCTCCCACCTCACCCAGGCGGGAGAAGTCATCGGATGATTTACCCCCCTCAAAAAAGAAAAAAAAGATGTGTCACTTGTTAGTTGCCATTTGAGGGTAAGATAAAATAAATCTTACGTGCCAATAAATAAGGCACACTTTTACATTAGATTCCTTTATATCTACGACTGGTGCCCGAAACCTATAATTCTACTTTGAGACGATCTGATTACTTACGTATGAGGAAATCATTTAAGTGTAACAATGGACTACATTTTTTGCACGTGACTAAACGTTGATCTGGCAAACATTGCCTCGGCTCGTGTGAGGTATATTTAACAACCTGTTTGAGGCAATTTGTAACAGTTAACGTTTTATAGGTAAATAGTTATTTAAATTTATCTGTTGTGTTCATTGTTGTTGTGTTATTGAAATGTTATGTTATGTTACCGCAAGTAAAGTATTTATCTAATATAGTTAAGCATAATATCTTCAAGTAGGTATTTAATATTATATTAGTGAACTATGAAATAAACTGATTAGATATAAAAGTATAATATTTAGGAGTGTTCGTAAGAGAAATATTCGAGACTTGACTCAAAATTTTATGAATTTATAAATTTTCGTAAACTTGGTGAACAGTATCGGCCGAAAGTCCTTTGGAGCCTATTACTTGAAATAATACGAAGTACCTCAGAGCAAGACAATTTATTTACGTCAAAGCAGACAACCTAATGTTTTGCCGGTAACGAAACCATAGCTTGAATTTAAATCGGCCAACGCCATCTATCGAGCTATGGGACAACACAATAAATAGTAGTATGGCGTTGGCCGAGTGCATCTTTTAAACAGATTATTTCTACACTGAACATTCCGCCCACCAAAAGGAATATATTCCTTTTCGTACCGCCCACCATGCATAAACTTAACAACTAGGAGAACAGTGGACTGTATAACAATTATATTACGATATTACGAATAATACATCGAGATAGATCTAGTGGACGGCTTCTTTAAGCAGACATTGGCGCGGACAGTTATGGTTTCAATCAAAATAAATAGATATAAGTACAAAAACATTAATCTGGGTGACGAAATTCTTGATACCGGCAAAAATATCAGGTTGACAAATTCTGACAAAAACAATATAACTAAACTACTAACTAAACATTGTAATCAATACATGACAGTGCACAAGAGTAAGAGACATTGTTATTTCAACAGTGCAGTATAAGAAAATAACATAATAAAACCTTATCTAAAAACATACGCAACTTAAACAATTAAATCTACAAGATTTTGTGCCTTATTCAGTAACAGGAAGAAAACACAATTTTGAAATTGGACGTTTAATCATAGAGCCCTTACAACGAACAGTGACAACTCGCGTCAAGTTATCTCTACCCGGATGCAGCTCAACAATTCTGCCATACAACCATTTAGCTGGAGGTAAGATATCTTCTTTTATTAAAACTACATCACCTATTTTACAGTCAGGTTTACGAACATTCCACTTATGCCTTTGAAAAAAGTTTGTTAAATACTCCTGTTTCCATCTACGCCAAAAGTGCTGCACCATACGCTGTACTAATTGCCATCTGCGTAAAGTGCTAACTGTGACACTTTCATAGTTGTAGTCAGGAACCATTACCAATGGATGACCCACCAAGAAATGACCCGGAGTCAGAGGTACAGGATCCTCTGGATCACTACTACCCTGAGACAGGGGCCTAGAGTTTAGGCATGCCTCGATTTGGGAAAGTACTGTGGACAGTTCTTCGAACGTCAAAGTGGAGTCACCTATCACACGCTTCAAGTGGTGTTTTACACTTTTCACCCCTGCTTCCCACAACCCACCAAAATTAGGAGCGTGAGGAGGGATAAAATGCCATTCTGTTTGAGAGTTTGCAAGAGCAGCTGCAATGTCTTTGTACATCGAACTCTGTTGGTTGAAAAGCATCTGCAACTCTTTAGCAGCACCCACAAAATTTGTACCATTGTCGCTCCAGATATGACGACAGTGACCGCGCCTAGAAACGAACCGTTTGAACGCTGCCAGGAAACCCTCAGTCGTCAAATCTGAAACAACCTCTATGTGTACTGCGCGCGTAGCCATACATACGAACAAACAGATGTACCCCTTATACGACCGCTGTCCACGACCTTTGGAGACTCTAATGTGAATAGGGCCTGCATAATCGACACCGGAGTTCAGAAACGGCTTACTGGGAGTCACTCTGCAAACCGGAAGTTCTCCCATAAGCTGTTGATTCGTGGTCGCCGAGTATCGAATACAGCGAACACAACGACGTATATAAGCTCGTACAATATTTTTAACCCGACTGATCCAGTACTTGATGCGTATAAAATTAAGTACCAGTTGCTGTCCTCCATGAAAGGTCCTTTCATGAGCGTCGGCTACAATTAACTTAGCCAAACTTGAATCATGAGGAATAACAACTGGGTGCTTTGTATCATCAAGTAATGGTGAATACCGTAGCCTTCCTCCAACTCGCAATATCCCACATTGGTCGATAAATACATTCAACTTATATAAAGAACTCGACCTTTCCAATGGACTCTTATTTTTCAGGGCTGTCAATTCAGCCTGAAACCATTGCTGTTGGCTTTGTTTGATACATACATTCAACGCTTTGTGAATTTCGGAAGCTGACAGGTATTTTGCAACCTTAATATTCGCTTTACGAAGTTTTAATGATTGCAAAAATCTTTTACAATACGCAACAACTCTCACCAAACGTGAAAGTGATGAATACTTAGATCCCCAAATGACTTCAAAATCAGGCACTACGCTGGCAGTGTGAACATTAACTTGCTTTAACTCCTCATTAGTATGAATGGCACTAGGCCGGGTGAAGTCTATCTGAGCATTCCTTAACCAACCAGGTCCATGTTTCCAAAGATCATCACCAAGGAGAAATGCTGAAGACACTCCCCGGGAAGCTATATCTGCTGGATTTTCTTTAGATTTAACATAAGCCCACTGCGAATTGTCTAGCAAACCAAGAATCTCAGAAGTACGATTAGCCACGTAAGTTTTCCATCGACTTGGATGATCATTTAACCAGGCCAAAACAACTGATGAATCCGTCCAAGCATGTATATTTGCCTTAGGAATGTTCATTACTTGAGCTACATCAATCAATAATTTTGCTACTAAAACAGAACCGCACAACTCCAGCCGTGGAATGGATATTTGCTTGATGGGAGCTACCTTTGTCTTTGCGGTTATGAGGTGCGAGTGTATTTGCCCATTAGCATCGACAATGCGACAATACACCACAGCCGCATAAGCTATATTTGACGCATCGCTAAAGCCATGTAACTCCATTGTAATATCTTTTTCGCTTTTATGTATCCATCTAGGAATGTGAAAGTTTACCAGTTTCTTTAACTCTGCTCTATAATATGACCATTCTTGTAAGAGATTTGGTGGCAGTTCATCATCCCAGCCGATTCCACTAATCCATAGCTTTTGTATGAAAACCTTCGAGGTTATAATGCACGGTGCTATCCAACCCAACGGATCATAAAGCTTTGATATCTCTGATATAACCGTCCTTTTTGTTTCAGGTGCAGCAGGAGGTGACATCTTCACAGAATAATCAAATTCATCAGTGTTCCGGTTCCAGGTAAGTCCTAAAATCTTAGTTATACTATCCATTTTTATTTCAAGGTCTCTACCAGAAGTTTCCTTCAACGTTTCCAAAATGGATGGTCTATTGCTTGTCCACTTTTGCAATTGGAACCCCGCTTTCTCTAATAGACAATTCATTTCATCATAAATTAGTTTTACTTCTGTTTCAGATTGACACCCAGTCATCAGATCGTCCATATAGAAGTCTGACTTCACCCTTTCAGCAGCCATTGGATACCTCTCGCCTTCATCGCACGCAACTTGCTGCAACGACTTTACAGCTAAGTAAGGAGCGCATGACGTACCAAAGGTGACAGTCAGAAGTCGGTAATCCTCGATCTCTTTGTTTGGATTCTCTCTCCAAACAATTCTTTGATAATCTGTATCAGGTCGAGCGACCTTGATTTGGCGATACATTTTGACGATATCGGCAGCCAGACAGATCGGATGTTGACGCCATCTCATGACAATATGTCGCAAATCTGCCTGAAGAGTGGGTCCTACCATTAAGGTGTCATTTAAGGAAACCCCGTTCGTTCCCTTACATGACGCGTCATAAACCACTCTTACCTTAGTGGTTAATTTATCCTGTCTAACCACTGCGTGATGAGGCAAATAAACAGCATCGTTTTTATTTATTTCAGCCTTATCAACGATTTTCTCCATATGACCAGCAATAAATATTCTTTTATTACATCAGCATACTGTTGTTTTAATTCATCATCCCTACCCAGCTTCCTTTCTAAACCTAGCAATCTTTTTACAGCTATATTTTTAGAATTACCGTATTTACAAAGTGGATCTTCGGAACGAAAAGGTAATTTTACGACATATCTCCCATTGACATCTCTAACTGTCGATTGTGCGTAAAACTCTTCGCAGGCCTGTTCTTCAGGCGTGAGAAGCTTTTTCGTTATAGCAGGTTCGGAATCCAATTCCCATAAACGTTTTAACATATCATTCTCTTCTATTTGAGTGTACATCGTGATTATAGTATTATGAGAATTTAGAGAGCTATCTGCCTTACTGACATAGCCTGACACAATCCAACCTAAATGCGTGTCTTGTGCGACCGGAGAGCCTGTAGGACTCTTGATCAGACCTTCCTTTAAAATACGGCAGTATACTTCCCCCCCTAATAAAATATCAATTTTATTAGAACGACTGAAATTTGGGTCGGCTAGACGTATGCTGTGAATTTCTGGCCAATTGTCAAGGTTGACATTCTTATCTGGCATAACCGATGTCAGTGAACGTAGTACATGCGCAGTTACGTTTATGGTATAAGAGGAATCATGCAACGATTGAATATCAATATTCACTACATGTTTAGAAACGATCTTGCTATGCTCACCTCCTATACCTGCAATAGTAGTCTTTGAGACTACTCTCCTTAAACGAAGTAATTGCGCAGCTGACTCAGTTATAAAGGATGCTTGTGATCCTTGATCCAACAAAGCTCTCAAAACCTGAGAGGACCCATTTTGTGATTCGGCTTTAACCAAAGCCGTGGCTAACAAGACCTGACCCTGCGTTTGTTCATTCACAAAATGAGATGCTATACTTACCTTGACATCATGGACTGGCTCTGAAGTACATCCAAGTTCAGGAGAATAGGTTCCCCTGACGCAGTAACCCCAATGGCTCCACTATGGTTCTTCGGATGTAGCAGCGTATGGTGTTTACGCTGACAAATACGGCATTTCGAAAAAACACGGCAGTATTTGGAAGTATGATTACTTCCCAAACAATTAAAACAGGCACCCAAAGATTGTGTTACGGCACGACGTCCGTCCACATCTAGTTGGCAAAACTTCTTACAATTTAAGAGTTTGTGACTCTCCGAACAGTGTGGACATAACATATTAGTCGTACCGTGCATGACCTTAGTGTGAGATGTAGGATGATGATCGACTTTTAATTTATTTTTAGGCTCAACGCATTCGAGAGCACGAAAACGTGTTTCCAAAAACTCGCAAAACTGTTTAAAGGAAGGTAGATCGTCGGATGA